GTTTTCTTTAAAGCCTCCTCAACTTCTTTTTTGCTAATGCGACGGTAAAAATGAAACGTTTTATTATTATTTACGATATTAAAATCACTAAGTTCGATCGTATTTTCAGAAACTTCATTAAAAAGTTTATCAAAGTAACTCACCCACCTATGTTGAATATCTTTTTCTAAGAAAAGTACTTTTTGATTTTCATCTTTAATACACTTTACTTGAGTTAAATCTTTACTTTTCTTTTCTCTTTGTTTGGCTAGTTTATACATATATTTTTCACCCTCCTTAGTATCTAATCTATTATAAAGATCATTAAAAGCAGAATTTTTAGCATCACAGATTGTTCTTTTAGACTCCCTGCGAGCCGTTTGATATTTTCTCCAGTTCTCTAAGCTTTTACATTTAAACCAATTTTTATAACATAACTTCTTATATTTTATCTTTTCTTGCACATTATTATTCCACCACCAACTATTTTACATTTAAACCAATTTGTCAAGTTCATACAACACTAATAAACAAAAAATACTTATCTGAAAACTATTTCTCAAAGCAAATCCTTTGTAGCATTTCCTTAGAAATGCATGAAGAATGAAGAAGATGCATGAAGAAGATATCTCTCACTTTTCTCCTTCTCTAACACTCTTACAGAAAGTTTCACACTAAATCTCACCATAAAAATACTAAACTATGAAAATAAAATCACTAATTGACTCTAATATGGAAGTCGAATGGAATGATGTTGTGCGAAAAATGAAAGTAGAGGAGTGAAAAATATAGAGGAGCCCATTTTCTGATGAAATTTGGCCCCAAACAGAGCCCAAGGTTGGTTCTCCAAGAGGTGCCTCCAAAAACTCTTCAAAAAGTCGTCCAAATACATCGAACCTTCGGTCTACACTACCTTTGCCATCGTCGGTGCTGGTCTGGCGCTCGTCGGCGCTGAGTAAAAAATATCCACGTTAATTTGTTCTGCACCGTCGGCGCTGCCGGCACTGAGCATTTCTTCAAAAACGACATTTTTTTGCTTTTTTTTTTGCTTTAAGCCCTAAAAATCAACAACCTGCAAGAAAACATAAAAATACCTTCCATTAAAGTACAATATCATCAAAAATAGGTATAAAATATGGGTCTAACAATGCATGTATTTTTGGTGTATAAATTAGCCATGCAACATAGGTGGGTGTTTTGTTGCTTTGCGCAACAAAAAATTGGTGCACCTCTACATATTTGAGCCTAGTTTCAATGAGAGATCGATAGAAGTTTTTAATTTGGAACTAGGCTAATCATGAAAGGTGCACCACATGGAACTAGGCTAATCACAAAAAAATTGGTGCACCTCTACATATTTGAGCCTAATTCCTAGTTCCAATGAGAGATTGATAGAAAAGTTGGTGCACCACATGGTGAGCTCAAAGGTGCATAAATATATCTAATCAAAACTCGTGTTTATACCTTTACCTAGTTCCTTGAGGTGCATGATTATGTACCAATCTTTTTATTATGAGGTGCATAAATATAGTAGGGTTCCACACATCAAGCACCTCAGAACACGAGTTCTGAGGTGCATGATTAGCTATGTAGATAATTTTTTGTTTGACATATTTAATTGCATGTTGACTTTTTTTGAACTTTTATATGTACTTTTTTTTTGAATCCCCAAGATCAAATTTTTATCAGAAATAAGGTACAAATCAAGTTCTGAGGTGCTTGATGTGTGGAACCACATGGTGAGCTCAAATGGCAATTGACTTTGTCCTGTTCTTTAATTTTGAAATTTTGTTATTATATGGAACTAGGATTATGCAAGTATATGCGGAGTCCAACCACCTTTTTGGTTCTCTGAGATATATTGTCAATCAAGCGGTATCCGACATTCATTTATTGTGTTTATTTCTATGGTGAGTGTCGAATTCTTCTGATAAGCTCTATGAATATAATGTATACTCATTAGTGTTGAAATTTATATTTTTCTACAAAAATGTTCTAATTATAAAAGATTAAGGTAAATTAATATTTAGGATAAAAATATTATTACTTTTAAAATCTGCACTTACTTTTATGCATAACATTCGAGCTGGTTTTAAAACAATTTTTCATTCAAGGCTATTACCTAAGTCATACTTAATAGGGCCTCCACATTAGGGATTGATTAGGCAACTACATCATTTTGTATGTCCCGAGGAAAAGTGCCCAAGCTTTTTGAACCGGGCTGACCAAACATATCTTTTTTACTTATGTGGTTGTCTAGAATGACTAGGGTGTTAGAGGCTCCACAACCCAGAAGAGGTATAAGTCCTTTGTAAGATGGTTTTGGCTTTGTAGACAAACAACTTTTCTCTTAATTCCAGAGGTGTTCTCGCCACATTCTTGGTGGGTGTAAGTCCCACTCCTACTGTGAATTCTACCTACATAAGTTTATAAGGTGTCAGATGTCTCTCTCCTTTGATTTTAGGGCTTTTGAGGTTCCTTGTACGATGTAATTCAAGTCGAGTTGGGTTGATTACCTTCTCGACCAAGTAGACCTAGGTTCTTAATAGCTTTATATGACGAATCGATGGAGTCCTGGCCCAGTTATCTCTACTCGATAAGGATATTCTTATTATTATATTGGTAAACCTCCTTTGAGTCCAATCTTCCATTGATATTATGTTGGTGTCATCTCATAGACCTCAATTGTTAATAGGCCACCACCAATTTGGGATATGATGACTCACTTTGTTCCCTTATAGCGTGATTCAGACTTTAAAGCGTCGGGATGTTTCTGTTCAAGACAACCTGGTTTTTCTTTAGGCCTTGTTTATCGACAAGATGTTGTTCATTTGAGGATGTGAGGGATTCACTCTCTCCCATTTGGTTTGATATAGGTTTTGAAAGCAGTGGGATCTTCGTAGTTGAGATAACTGAATTATTTTGATTTACATTTTTATTAATTATCATAAATTGTAAGCAAGGTTCCTTTTCATAGGTATGAGTTGTTCTTAACCTCAAAACAAAATATAATTTCGGTTTTCTTTTTATATGGGTTGGTTGTGTAGGGTTTCTTTATGAATATAAGTTTCAGGTTGTTTTAATCTGATCTTGTTGTTGCACATACACTCTTGACCTATCATGTGAGGATAACCTAACATAAGTTCTCCATGTTATTTTCAAATTTAATTTGTTTGTCAAGTTTCTTTATATGTTCTTTCTTTCTAAGCTCTCAATTTCACACAAGGTAGGAGGTTTTAGGCAAGCTGGCAACTGCAAATTCAAAAAGAACAAAAATTGATGGCAACTATGAAGATAGAGAAAGAGTTTTTTGAGTCGCATCTATCCCACACAAGGTAGGAGGTTTTAGACGAGCATCTCTGGATCGGTAACATCACAACAATTGACCAGTTCATATGGTTGGGCTTGGTCAAACCAAATTATGTTGATTTAACTGAATTCACTGCTCTAGATGAACTCCTTATCATGCTTCACATTCAAGAGTATTTCAGATTCATTTCTTCTCATTGTTGTCGCTTCTCTTCTATTTGGTAAAATGCCCAACACTCACCGTACATTTTAGGATGTTGAGTTTAGATTTATCATGTGAGGCATAACAAAAGAATCAGAGCGATAGGAACGTAGAGGGAGAAATAGAGTGAATAAAAAGAATAAATGAAAGAGCACGCACAAACTTGCCCCATAGAGACGAACAAAGTATTTTAGGGCTCTTTGACCCATTTTATATGTGAAAAATAGAGGATAAAAGAGAGAAGGGGGGAGAGAGTTCTCCTTACAGAATATGGGTCCAGAGATAGGAGCCAGAATCCCCTTTTTACATGTTATGATCCTCCTATTTATAGAGGATATGAGGTCAAAAAATAAAAAAATTACATATTTGCCCATACTTTAATATGGAGTTGCAGGAGATTGTTCTTTAGTTGTTACTTTTATATGTGTAATTGATTTATACCACATTTAATATTCCCGAGCTTTTCAATCGGCAATACATTCAGTTAGTCAACCATGCAAGTGTGTATACTGGTCTTTATTTGTTCTAGAAAGCCGATGGGCTTTGAGAATAGTAGTTAATCGGTCATGGTGTGGTCGGTCGGTTACATGTGTTATGTGATGATTTTTGGAGGAATTTTTTGAGAGTCTCTCTTTATTACTTGTTAGATTGTTGAGGGTGCAATATCTTTGTTCGGTTGTTCGAGAGATTATTTGTATTCTTTCGGCCTGGGTGGCCTTTTGATCCATCACCATCATTTCAATCAACTTTCTGTCAATCGGCTAGCAATTCTTTAGCTTCAACTTTATGAACATTTAATTTTGGGTTGATCGTCAATTACTTTGAGATTTATACAGACAATTTTTCTTTTATTATTTACACTATATGATATCTTATTTAAATAAAATTTAATTATTATTATTTATTTAATATATAAATTCAATAATAATGTATAATTTTGATAATAATATTTTTAGATTTATTTACTAATTAACATACTATCATCCATCATAATCAATGCAACATATTCTACGATATATAAAAATATTTTTATAAATAAAGCATAACATTGATGCATTTGGCATGCTGATAATGTGTCCAATTTTAAAAAGTAATCCAAGTAAATATAAATATTTTTTTTGTAATCATTAATGAATATAAAGATTAAGCTAACAAACTTATTCTTAATTTTTTTTTATTTTAATGACAGTTTATTAACACCTTTATGTTATTTGATTACATGAAAATCCGATGGCAACTTATATATTATCTCAATTAATTAGTGAAAAATGATTATTTATTAATTAAAATATTATTCAATTATTTGTTTATTTATATTTATAAAATTATTTATTTCTAATTTATATGAAAAATTAAATATTCATTTAAATTTTTAGTTTATTCGTTGACTCATTGACATACACATTTAATTAATATAAATAAATTGAAGTACAAATTTAATATAACCTTTAAAAAAATTTAAATAAGCTAAGTATGAATACACAATGTTTGGCATAAGCTAAACCAGTAGTATCTTCTTTTTAATTTATCATATAACTAAACCAAGTTTAATCTACTATCATTCTCGACTCGACTCAATTACAACCCTATCGTGAACATTCATTAAAAGAGTATGTTCCAATAGTATCTTCTTAAAATACCAAATCACACCCGAAGACTTGAAAAATAAGCTTTAGAGGAGCTCATAAAAATAGTCCAGCCCTTGTCCAATCTCCCACAAAGAAAGACCACTATCATTCTCGACTCGACTCAATTACAACCCTATCGTGAACATTCATTAAAAGAGTATGTTCCAATAGTATCTTCTTAAAATACCAAATCACACCCGAAGACTTGAAAAATAAGCTTTAGAGGAGCTCATAAAAATAGTCCAGCCCTTGTCCAATCTCCCACAAAGAAAGACCAGCTCCCCAAGCCCGGGCTTCATCCAATCTCATCCGGATTGATTTCAGGGATGGATAGAAAACTGCATGGTGAAGATTATCTTGCGAATAAATGAAATAATGTTCTGCGCTCTTCTCGTCCCAATGCAGCACAGGTCTGTATTTCTCCAGCAGTGATAAGTAATCCCTACCAGTAATTGCTTCACCTGAACCTGCTGCAAGCATGGGAAAACAAAAATATAAAATTAACAAGTTTCATAAAATATTATGTCTGCATGAATGAAAAGGTAGCTGTAAAGCTATCCAAAGCTTGTTTTCGAATGTTGTTTTGCTGTTGAATGAGTAGGGTAGTAGACTCAGAGAGATATTAAGCGGAGATAAAAATGACAAAAAAGCTACAGATGAACTATCAAATATCAGCGCTATAGCAATAAATATGTGGGGGGTTTACATACATCCCACAATTTTTATGTATTTACATATCTAACACCTAAACATTCATCTTTACATGCAAATACTCAAATCTCCAACAACACATCAAATATACCACCATCACTATTTGTCTAAAAGTGATTTGCACCTTTAAAGCCAGGTTTATGACACCAAGATATTATAAGTGTAAATATCAAATTTAGAGAGTTAGATATGTGAATACATCAGAATTGTGTGATATTTATGTGAATTTCCCTAAATATATCCAATGGTGATTATGATGATTTTGACATATACTATTTTCGGAGCTGCTTAGTCGCAAATACCATATGTAAAATAAAAAATAAAGGTGTTGTGATTTTTTTTTTTTCATTTTTAAAGTAAGATTTGAAGTGAATCAAATACAAAAACATTTGTATAGCTAATTTATAATGCCCCTTAATAATTATTTTAATGAGCTTAAAACTCATCAAACCATGCAAATTCCAAATGCAAGGAAAAGTAACTAGTGATCTCATTTTTCACATCACACAAGGCCACCAGCCGTTGCACTTCGCATTTTAATATATTTGAAAGTGTTAGAAGTTAGTAGTGTTTATTTCTTTCCTTTTTGGATATGTCCTAATTTATGTATTTCCTTGTTTATGTATTTTCTTATTTATAAATTTCCTACTTCATGACTTTCCTTTTATCTCTAACTAGTTATTAAAAATTAATTTAATCCTACAGATTTGGGTGTTATGTCCTTCCTATTTTATAACTCTTATATCATATATTTGTACACCTTTTAATATCAATAAAATCATCCTGTTGGATTCCAACATGGTATCATAGCCAAGGGATTTACCCTAGACACCGGGATTCTTCTCCAGCTGCCTGAATTGTCATCTGCTGGCCTATAGCTGCAAGTACTCCCCTTGTCAGCTACCGGATGCTCTTTCTTGCTGCTGGAAATCTTCCCTGCACGTTTGCACGAGCCATGTTCTCACCAAGAACTAGGATCTACTTTTTTCCCAGCCGGAACACCTTTTCCAGCAACCTGACCAGCATCCTGCCTAATAGATCTTTTTTTTTCTTTTTTTGGGCTGGAATTTCTTCCCTACTGTCTTAGTTTGTTGAAAGGAATCATTTCCTTCCATGTCTCAGCATCCCACATCTCATTTGGTTCTGTCGGAGCCATAGCTAATTCCTCCACCATCGAGCTTAAGTGTGACATGGTTCTTGAATCCACTGGATGATCGGCACTTACCTCAATCCCTCCATGGACCGGATGACTTGAAAACCACATGAATTTCCCGATTACCACCCATATACTAAACGGCTCTAATTTTCTCCAATCGCCTTAAAGCTGTGTCGTTTGTCAAAGGTCAAAGTAATTCAGCCATCTCATAAGTATTATTCATGAACCTATGAAGACCGGCCCAACATATGCAACATAGGAAATGGAGAACTCCATGATCATGTCGTGGCTGATTAATTCCATGAAGCCTTGATTGTTCATTTATACTTATTTCTTCCGTCTCAAGTGCCCTCTGCACTGTCATTCGCGACACCTACTTAGATGTAGGTAATTCTGGACAACTCTATGAGGTTTCTAAGAAAATTCGTGAGGTGAAACAGGGTTCGATGATGGTGACCCAGTACTACAATTACTTGGTAGCATTATGAACAGAATGTGATATCTACTGACTACACTTGGGACTCTCCTATGGATCTTTTTCTCTTCCAAAAACTTTTGGAAAAGGATCAAGAGTACCAATTCCTAGCAAGCCTGAATAAGGATCTTGATAAAGTCCACGATTGTATACTCGGACGTAATCCTTTCTTACAATCAGAGCAACATCACTGAGCTTCACCACAAAGAAGGCGCAGACTTGTCATGCTCGGCAACACCACTCCTCCAACCGAGCCTTCAACCTTGGTCTCCAACAGTACTCCACACTCTGTCACATCGTCGTGAGCCACTTACTACATAATTTTTGTCACAAACCCTACTATACTTGCGACAAGTGTTGGAAGCTCAGCGGGAAACCGACAAATACGTTTTTTGTCAAATCTTCAGTCGCTAAAGGACTCACTATGACCTCCGAATTGGCGACAGTTCAGCCTACTCAGACCATCTCCGAATCAGCAGACTCCATCAAGAGTCAAATGAAACACTTGATTACACTATTTGGGTCTAGTCAACTCTCCTCCGGTTCATCAACCTCAACTCTACAAAGGTAACATCTCTATGCACCGCTGGTTTTGCTTCTTCTAGCCCAAGGATTATTGATTCAGATATCATGAATCACATGACTAGGTTCTCATTTCTTCTTAACTTATTCTCCTTGCTCCGGGAAAGTTATGATTAATATTGTCGACGACTTCTGTAATTTCATTACAGGTAAAGAGTCAATTGTACCTACAGTTGGGCTGACTTTAGAATTCATGTTACATATTTCTTTACTTAAGTGCAGCCTCTCGTCGGTCAGTAAGTTAACATATGATCTTGATTATGCTGCTCACTTTTTCCCTGATGTTTGTGTCTTTCAGGAACGTCGTTTGAGAAGGATAATTGGAACTGTTAAGCATGTAGCCAGGCTCTATTTTTTCTAAGAAAATGGCATAGATGACACTGACACTCAATCTCGTTGTTGTAGTTTTTCTCTTTCTACTACATGTCTAATTATGTTTTTACATTGTCGTTTGGGTCATTTCATTTTTTATTATGTAAAACATTTGTACAAGTTGATATTTGCTAATAAAAATTCATATTATTCTAAATATAAAATTTGTTAGTTAGCTAAACATCAATGCGTGCATATCCAATTCATCCTTACACTCCTTTTTCATTTATACACAGGGTCCCTCTCGATCCGCGAGCTGCGTGGATAAAATATGATTTCTTACTCTAATTGTTGACCACACTCAGATGCTTGGGTTTATATTTAAAAAAAAAATGTTAAGCTGCGATCATTTTTAAAAATTGTCACTCATTCATTCTAACCCAATTCAAAACAAATATTCAAATCCTTCGGACAGACAATGGATATGAATAATTTAACTCTACATTGGAAGAATCCATGGCGAGTAAGGACATTCTCCATCGTAGTTCTTGTATGGATACCCCTCAAGTATAGCCAAGCGAAAAAACAAACATCTTCTTGAAGTTGCTCATTCAATTATGTTTCAATCCATTGTCCCTAAACGGTTTTAGGATGATGTCATCCTCACTGCTAACTACCTCATCAATAGAGTTCCCACAACAGTACACATTTCGGACCCCATAATCCATCTTGATGCCTTGTTTTCCTACCAACTAGTCTTTCTCCACATTAGATGCACGACCTTTATCTGAAACATAAACTCAACTCGTAGTGAACTTGATCCCCGCTCAATCAAATTGTCTTTATTGGCTATTTTTCCACTCAAAAAAAGTCTATTGGTGTCTGGATCCCACCACTAAAAATATATTTATTACTACCGTCATCTCCTTTTTTTGAAAATGCCTCATTCTTCCTTGACACTACCTCAAGGAGAGCTTGATTTTTTGTAAATGTTCATCTTCCGACTCAGTTAGACATTCCTCTTACGACCACGGTGTCCAGTGCACCTTCACCACCGATGGATTCGCCTCCAGCCTGGCCAACATCACCACCACCCTTTATTCGAGTCTATACTTGTCGTCCAAAACCCTATGTTGAAACTTGTACCAATGCCCCTATCATCAAACCCACTGCTCTACCGCAGTTCTTGGAATCTGCTCCCGCCGACATCCTTGGAAAGATGCCTTCACCACCTACGACGGTCACTCCAGATCCGAGTGATGATGTGAATCTCCCTATCGAGCTATGCAAACAGATACCGACAGAAACTTTGTATCCTATGGTGAAATATATCTCATTCCACAATCTTTTTCCAACCTACAAAGCATTTGTTACTTCTATGACAGATCGTTGTCTCCCATCCACTGTATAAGCTACTTTGGTTGACTCCTCCTAAAAGGCTGTTGTCATTGATGAGAATGCTTTTCGGCGCAACCATACAATGGTCGATCTTCCCGAAGGAAGAAAGCTATGGGGTGTCGGTAGATCTTCAACACCAAGTTTAACTTCGACGGTTTCTTTGAACGCAACAAGGCATGACTGGTCGTCAAAAGATATTCTCAAACTTATGGAGTTGACTATGAAAAGACATTTGTTCCAGTTGTCAAACTCAATTCCATTCATGTCCTATTAACACTAGTTGTGAATATGGATTGGCCCTTCAACTAGAAGTCAATCATGTTTTCCTTAATGGAGATTTTGTCAAGGAGTTTTATATGTCTCCCCCCCCTTCTTCCCGCGGATGAGTGTAGCGATTGCGAAAGTCCCTTTATGGACTAAAGCAATCCTCACGGGTCTGGTTCGGCAAGTTCACACAGGTGGTAGTGGGTCATGGGTTCTCTCAGTCCCAATCTGATCATACACAATTTTTTCGGCATTAATCTGGTGGTTGTATTGTCATCCTCAGTATCTATGTCGAATATATTGTGCTCACACGTAATGATCTGCTAGCCTTAGAGTCACTCAAAGGCATCCTCGTCATGTCTTTTGAAATGAAATGCTTGGGCTTTCTCTGATATTTCTTAAGCAAAGACGTAACTTGGTCCTCTCGGAGCATTTGTCTTTCCCAACACAAATATATGATAAACCTATTGACCGAGACCAACATTCTCCTTTGCAAACTGATCGTTATCCCAATGGACCCAAATGAGAAATTAATGGATATTCCCAATACCGTTCCAGTGAACAAAGCCTACTACCAATGTCTCGTAGGTAAGTTCATTCACCTCACTCATACTCACTTGGACATTTGTCATGTCGTGAGCAGTTTATGCATGACCCTTGCGAGCACCATCTCAACGCAGTTCATCGAATCCTTCACTACTTAAAAAAAAAACACCAGGCTCAGATTTGTTATTCACTCGTTATAACTCCAACTCTATTGTGGTTTATATAGATATTAATAGGGTCGGGTAAGTCCATGACAGACGATCTACCTCAAGTTACTGCTCCTTCGTATCGGGGAATCTTGTTATTTAGAGAAGTACAAAACAGTCTATGGTTTCCCGTAGTAGTGCTGCAGCCAAGCTTTATTATATGGATTTGGGGGTGTGAAGCCCTCTAGTTGGGCATTATGCTCAATGAGTTACGTATGTCGGTTATTGCTCCTTTGTGGTTGTTTTGTGACAATAAAACCGCCATTAGCATTGCTCATAACTTGGTCATATATGATCGTACCAAGCATGTAGAGATTGATCGTCACTTTATCAAGAGAAACTTGATTCCGGAGAGATCTTTGCTCCATTTGTTTCATCTACTGGAAAACAGGCTGATATTCTCACAAAAAATCTTACTTGTCTGTTGTTTGATGACTTCAAATTCAATTTAAACATGATTGACATCTATGCTTCAACTTAAGAGGAAGTGTTAGAAGTTATTAGTTTTTATTTCTTTTCTTCCCAGATATTTTCTAATTTATGTATTTCCTTGTTAATGTATTTGCTAGTTTATATATTTCCTTATTTATATATTCCCTAATTTATGACTTTCCTTTTATCTCTAGGTAGTTATTAGAAATTAATTTAATCCTAAATATTTGGGTGTTATGTCTTTCCTATTTAATAGCTCTATAATGTATTTATACCCTTTTTGATATCAATAAAATCATCGTATTGAATTGCAACAGAATGGTATCATAACAAACAAATAAAAAAATTCAATGCATATGATTTGTGTCCAACTAAATAACACGCACGTTTTAAAATGAAAGCATTCTAAAAACATTCAATCTAACAACCAATTGTCTAGTTTAAAGTATAAAAATTCCACAGAGCAGAAAAATCAATTTAATTTGCCCAGAGAAACAATTTGCGAATGAAAAAAGTGTCACAATGTTCATCAGTACTCTGAATTAATCATGAAATCAATATCTGGCAAAGTTTGATGAACAAACCTTCAGAAAGTGAGAAATCATTGCCATAAAGGTTGATGCCAAGAAAGATCATATGGGCATGGCTAAGAACACCGCCAACATTATTGCCACCAAGCAGCAGCTGCATGGATGAATGGATCCAACTCAGAGGAGCATTAGGACCTGGATTTTGTGGTCCTGAGAAGGCATAGGTCATGAGAGAGAAACCATCCACAGAATCACTAAGTTCTTGCAGATCTTGAGGCCCGAAGTCATAATCAGCAAAATTTTGTGAATGAGGTGGAGAGATAACGTAGATCAACTCAAGGTGAAGACTGTCATTTTTTGCTGAATTTACAGAACGCATTACATGCCCTAGCCGTTTAATGAATTTCAACCCCTATTTAAGAGAATTTGCCATTGACACGGTTTAAAAAAAGAGACGGTTGTAATTTCGTATTATATCACCTAAGAAAATGCGGCAACGTTCTATAAATCTCAGCAGACGAAATTTAAAAAAAAAAAAGATCATTTGTATTTGCTTACGCTAAAAATAATAGTATTCATGTGGAATTATTATGTAGGAGTTTAAAAACACAAAATAATCCAAGGACGACGGAGTAATAAAAAGAAGTTAAGAAAATGCAGTGCACATTGGAAGCAAAAGGTATGCATCTTGTCTTTTTTTACCACAGCTTGTGTGGTTTTAATGAGATTAACTTGTTGATCAGTTCAGGTGATGCATAAAAAAATCTGAATTCTATTTTGTCCCGGATTTGGACATCATGGTCATCACTTTATTTTAGTTAACTTATTAGTTTGAACGGAATTTGGTAGTTTATTAGCAATTTATTAGTAAATTACAAATAACTCGTTAGGAACCTATTATTTCTTACATCAATAAATAACAAAAGTCTCAGTTATTAAAACAGATTATGACATTCGTAAAATTTTTTATGAGTTTATAGATCGCTCTATTGACGGAAAAAAAGAAGAAAAATAAAGAGAAAGAAAAGTGGAATGATCCACATTTTATTCAGTTAAATTTTGGTTTTATTTATAGGATTTTATAATGGGCAAATTTAAGAAGTAATAAAATATGAAAGAGAAGATACATTATGGAAACAACCACAATTAAGAAAAATAGTCAAAATTGAAGGTAGAATCAATGCTTTTAAAAACGTACTTCACGAGCAAAATAAAACAAAGCACAGGACGCTTCTTCACTTCATTGAAGCATATGCTTCGAAGCGTTGAAGTTAAACTATAAGTTTTTTTTATAATTTTTAAGTTTTTAATTATTGTAGACAACTATTATAAGTTATTTTTAAATTTTAATTTGAAGGTTCATCATTAATGTTTGCTTTCAAATTAGATATAATATCACATTCTTTTCTATTTTATATCAACTTTTAAGTTATACTTTACATTTTATAATTGCTAATGAATGAATTTATACATTAATAATTTTGCATAACCTACTAGTATTTTGGTTAATAAAAACGCACCTTCAGTCTACACATACATTTTGAAGTAAAAATAAAATATTGTGCTTTACGTTTGGATAATATTGGGTAGAATATGTAGGAAAATATACCATATATGCTTACTAAATCTGACTAAATTGCAAGCCGTAGGATGCAATCCAGTAATGGAGAAGCAACCATGTCAACAATCCGAAGGAGCCCCCACAGCTACAACCGCATAATTGCCAAACTCGGCAATTCAACGTATGCAGGAATACCAAGATTTCCACTCCAGCATGGCTTGCAAATAACCTACCTCATTTGTTGGAAGTCCATAGAAGCAGTGAAATTAATTTTCTTAATTTTGAAAAGTAATAGCTATAAAGTATTCAACAAGTTTACATTTTTTTCTAGAATTTTTATCCGTGATTATAACACCATTCTTATAGATTTACTTACCTATCATCCTATGTTTTTACGTACATGGCCCCTTAGTACATTTCATTTTTTTTTTTGTTGAAATAGCGGGGTATTGAGAAAAGTGTCAAAATAGTCCCTAGACTATTTTAAGGTCATTTTAGCCCTGACTTTATAAAACTGTCAAATTAGTCTTAAATTATTTTTAAAAAGGGTAAAACATATACATACAACACAAGAAAAACATAAAACACAGAGAACAAAGAACACAAGATTTGACGTGAAAAAATTCGATGGGAAAAAAATCACGGAACCACATCACACTAAAAAATTAACTATAAAGAAAATAAGGAGAATTATACAAATTACACCACACTCAAGCCTCTTCACATTTTGGAACACTTTAGGATACTCCTCTCATTTACAAGAGAAAAATTGAAATCTAGCCCTACTATTGACAAAGACAGCACAATAAGAAGGAACATCCCAAAATTTGATTACGGGTGACGGCACACTGGGATATGACATTACAAAACTTCAATAAGCGATGGAGCACTACATCAGGTGCATTACAGTGTCGCGCTTTCGGGTTTTAAATCAAGATTGGGTGTTGCAGCACTCCCTTCTGGGCAATGAAGTCTCGTGCTCTTGAGTTATGAGCATGTACCGAGCACAACAATGCTAGATTTTGGGTGATGGATGTTGTGTACATCAAGAAAAAAAAATTTTGGGGTGTTGCCCTCACACCCAAGGAGGTGCCTCCCGGTGGCCCAACTTCAATATATCTGAAGCAAAACTTTGAACATAAGCTTACAACACAATAAAAAACATAAAACACAAGATTTGATATGGAAAAACCCGAGGATCGAAAAAGAACCACTGAGCTACACAACACCAAGAAATTCAATATAAAGAAAATAACGAGAATTGTACAAATTACATCACAATCAAGCCTCACCAAACTTTGGAACACTTTAGGACACTCTCTCATTTACACAAGAGAAAAATTGATATCCAATCCAACTCTGTCAACAAAGATGGCACAATAATTAGGAACTTAACAAAAATTGATTACGGGTGCCGGCGCATAGCGATATGGCTTTACAAAGCTCCAATAGACGATGGGGCACTACATCAAGTGTTACAGTGTCCCGCTCTTGAGTTTTGAATTCGGCATGGGCGCTGTGGCACCCCCTTCCGGGCACTGGAGTGTCGGGCTCTCAGGTTATGAGCCTGTATCGGGTATGGCGGTGCTATCTTTTAGGCGATGGGGTGTTGTGTAAAGTAAGAAAAAAATTTCAGAGTTAGTGTCCCCAAATCCAATATAGGGAGGTGCCTTTTGTAGGCCCCTCTCACCCCCAAAAACAAACTCACCATCAAGCTTGATAGGCAAAACTGAGGACATTAAGTGACCAATTGATTGACACAACCGGGTTCCATATAATAACAAATGAGCACAGATATGAAGGCAAGGTGATCCGAGCAACAAGGACCATCTAACAACTTCGAGTAATGAGACCAACACGATTTCCAAACAGCATCAAAACTTCTCAATGAAGCATTTCAAAGGGATAGTGCAAACAAAGCAACATAACAATTATTGCAATAAGCTTGACATGGTGAGACAAAGTTTGAACAATTCCTAAAGCGGTCGAGAGGCATGAATGAGATAGGTAAGTAAATTTTTTGAGAAGCACCCTCCTAAAAATTCATTTTTATTTTATTTATTAGCAAAGTTATATATTTATATAATTTTAGATTTAATAAAACTAGTGGTGGGATTATAACAATGGGTGAACAAGTCATTAAAAAGATTGAATGCCTTTAGATATCTTGGGTCCATTGTTCAACGTGATTGTGATATAAATGGGGATATTATTAGTATAATTCAAGTTGGAAAGTTGAAGTAGAGTTATGCATCGCGTCTATCGTGTGATAGAAAAGTACCGCTTAAACTTAAAGAAAAATTTTATAAAATGAAACTGAAATTTGCAATGTTTTATGGCACAAAATGTTGGCTTGTAGAAGAGAAGCATAAAATTAAGTTTTGTTGAGCTGAGAATGCTCAGGTGGATGAGTGGCTTTACATTTAGAGACAAAATGCAAAACGAATATACACGAAGGGGTCGCAGTAGCTCTAGTGGCAAAAAAGATTGAGTAGCTCGCCTTCGATGGTTTGGTCACATTAAACGTCGACCATCTGATGAGCCAATTAGGAGAGTGGATGTTTTAGCTTTGACTTAAGTTAAGAAAGTTAAAGGATGACCTAAAAATACTTGGGCATATTGTATCAAAAAAGATCTTAATTTATAAGAATTAAATGAAAATAAGACACTCAATAGGACACACTGGAGAAAAAAAATCCATGCACTTGACCCACTTAGTGGGATAAAAGCTTGTTGTTGTTATTGCTCAAATTTAATAGACTGGTTATTTATACTTAAAATTTATAGTTTTTATATTTGTTTTTTTGGTAATAAGAACATTTTTCTTGGCAATAAAGATGAATATAGGCCAAGCAAAGCTCTCCTTTGAGTAACAATAAAGAGGATCACTCAAAGCTTCCCTTTGAACATTATTGAGTGGATGGAGCTCCCCAAGCAATGAGTGGTAAATATATGATTTCTTTTATATTTGAGGTATTAATTAGATTGTTGAAAAATTTTCATAGGAACAGGTTGGGACAATGTCAGAGGGGATCCAGGATTTTTCCCATCCACATCAGGGCAAGTTTTTCATTTAAGGGCCACTTGTTTCTATAAATTTGTGAAATTTTCTAAAAGAGTTATCATGTATTGATTACATTGCAAAGTAGTTGAAAATAGAATTGAAGGAATTGACAATGTCAAAAATAACTTGTGTAATACTATTTTTAAGTGGCTTGAAAACTCAATATTTTCACTAATATTTGGTGTTTTGATTGAGACGATTTATATGCAAACGGAAAATGATGATGATAGATATGCACTGGTAAATAAGAGTTGTGATGATGATGAGAATGTTGACAATGAGTGTGCAGATTCAAATGATCGTAAAGAATATAATAGTGATTATGAGATGCCACAAGATAATTTATTTGAAAACAATGTAAATCATTTTGTTGAACTTGTATGTGATCAGGATAAAGAGAACAAGCCATTGATTCCTATGATGTATATTTCAGAAAATTTTTTAAGGAAAAAATTGTAATATTGATTATATAAACTCTAGTGAGAATATATACATTCATGATATAGTGATGAATATGTTAGTACCAAATGGCCAACATTTAATCCTAAAGTATAATTAAGGAGTACTAGTTTTGAAGTTGGCATGTCATTTAACAATAAAGATGAGTATAAAGATGTTGTGCAAAATTTGTCAATTCAAAGAAAAAAAATAATTAAATTTGTAAAGAATAACAAAAGAAAATGTCAAGTCATTTGTAGAAGACCAAATTGCCCAATTGTCATATATATTTTCAAGAATGAGGGGAGCAGTTCATAGCTGATATGATCATTACAGGAGCACATTTGCA